TTTTGTTTATTCTGAAAAAGAAAATTCGTGTTATAAAGAAGTAGTCGTAGAAGGTGAAACCCTGAAAGCTCTCGTTGATACCGGCAGTGCTTTAAGCTTAATACGCGAAGACGTTTTCGAAAAATTTAAATTAATTAATTTAAGAGACTCGAAATGTAAAGCAGTAGGTTTCGGCGGCGGCAAAGTAGAGACTAAGGGATCTTTTCAAGCAGAGACTTTTATCGACAATGAAGCGTATAATTTGGATTTTGATGTAGTGTCAGTAGATTCTATGCCTATGAAATGTATTATTGGCCGTAATATATTGCCGTTAGCAGAAGTTCGAGTCGATAAAAATGGCGTTAAAATTATAAAATGCGAACAAAATGTATTTTTGGGAAATATAACTTTAACAGAAAAAATTGAAATCGACGTTGGTCCTCTCGATGATGATTCTATTTGTAAACAAGCGGAAATTCTTTTAATAAGTTATAAACCGAATAAAACTAAGACTACCGAAATTGTATTAACTATAAATTTAAATGACGACAAGCCGATTTATTCTAGTCCAAGACGTTTACCTATTGTTGAGCGTGACGTAGTAGATGATCAAGTTGAAGTGTGGGAAAAGGCTAAAATTATCAAACCAATTAATTGTGGCTACGCAAGCCCTATAGTACTAACTAAAAAGAAAGACGGCACATATCGAGTTTGTGTCGATTACCGACGAATTAATAAAGTTATTATAAAAGATAAATATCCTATTCCGTTAATAGAAGATTTAATTGATGCCTTAAAAGATTCGAAAATATTTAGTACGTTGGATTTGAAAAACGGTTTTTTTCATGTAAGCGTTAGCGAGGAAAGTCAGAAGTATACTTCATTTGTAACACACAAAGGGCAGTATGCTTTCTTGAAGGCTCCCTTTGGCCTTTGCGTTTCACCAGCAGTTTTCCAGCGCTTCATTAACTGTATTTTTAGGCCTCTAATAAATAATGGAATTGTATGCGTATACTTTGATGATATAATTATATTGGCGAAAACCGAACAGGAAGCGATAGAAAATTTGAAAACTGTTTTAATAGTAGCTAGCGACTATGGACTCGAGATTAACAAAAAGAAATGTCACCTTTTGAAAAAGAGAATCGAATATTTAGGGCAAGTCATCGAAGACGGAAAAATTTATCCTTCGCCTGGGAAAATATCGGCCGTGACCAATTTTCCGAAGCCGAAATCAGTTAAAGATGTACAAAGTTTCATTGGTCTCACGGGATATTTCCGAAAATTTATAAATAAGTACTCCTTAATAGCGAAACCGTTAAGCGACTTGATGAAAAAAGACAAGGAATTTCAATTTGGTCCTTCAGAGCAAGAAGCCTTTACAAATTTAAAAAAGATACTCACAGAAAAACCTGTATTGAAATTTTTTGATAGAGAACACGAAACCGAATTACACACTGACGCGTGTAAAGACGGAACCGCGGCAATTTTGTTACAACGTTCACCCGATGACGACAAGTTTCACCCAACACATTACTTAAGCCATAAGACGACACCCGCAGAACAGAAAATGACTAGTTATACGTTAGAAGCCTTAGCAATTGTTCGTGCTTTACAGAAATTCAGAGTCTATCTGCTTGGCATCGACTTCAAAGTGGTGACAGATTGTGCAGCCTTTAAGCAGACAATGGACAAAAAGGAAATTTCACCCAAAATTTGGAGATGGGCGCAGCTTATTGAGGAATATTCTTGCACCATAGAACACAGATCTGGCGAGAGAATGCGGCATGTGGACGCTTTAAGTCGCTACCCTGTTTTTACTATCGAAATCGACGATATAACCGCACGACTTAAAGAAGCACAGCAGAACGATCCGAAAATTAAAGAAATCGTCGACTCCCTTGATGACGGACTGAATGATAACTACGTGATGCGAAATGGTTTACTTCATAAGTTCGAAAATGGAGATGATTTACTGGTGATTCCTGCTTGTATGGAAGAAGAAATAATCCGTGTAGCACATCAGCGTGGCCATTTTGCTGCCAAACGTACGGAAGAAATTATTCGAAGAAATTATTTCATCTCACACCGTGCAGGAAGATGAATATTATCAACTTTCATTGTGGCAACTTTTTGTTACGATTTTATTATTCTACAAAGCTTTCTGATAAAAATGCTGCTTTGACGAAAATTGTAACAGCTAATTCTTCAAAGATATTAGAATATTTTTATAAATTGCGAAATATAAGTAAGCGTTGAAAATAAAATCTCACATATTTGTATACTGCCGTACAAAATAAAAAAGTCTATAACTGTAATTTGTTTTTAGGTTGTTGTTAGCTTGTTTGTCTACGTGAAAAACAACCTAAAAGCAAATGTCAGTTATAGACTTTTTTATTTTGTACGGCAGCATATGTACGTTTTTTCTTGGAATGTCTTGTAAACTAACAAATATCTCGAATATCGATCGTACTGTTTTTTGATTTGTACAGTAAAAAGTAAATCTTTTGTAAAAATCTATCTGGAATTAATCAAGTCTTGAAAGTAATGACAGTCTTAATTTAAACTCATCGATTTGTGTGAAAATAAAGATAGGCAATCTGAATTTACAGTTCTACTTTTTTATATTAGGCATACATCTGCTGATTTTGAACATAATTGCCTTAAATTCAGCACATTCTTTAATGATAATCAGTATGCTTTGCTATTTAAATTCAGTAAAAAAAATATGATTTGAAATTAAACAAAGGCTGTCTTAAAAATGTTGCATCAAAAATTAAGGTACCTTTCATGATTAAAAATAAGACTTTCTTTTTACTGTGTGTGTTCGTTTAATTGTATTAACTAGCTATTCTTAAAATAGTTGTCAACAATGTCTAAGTCTTTTGGCAAAACTCATGAAGTAAATCAAGAAAAAGTGTACTGTCCTGGCGGTAAAAAATCAAATACGAGGGAAAAGAGCAAATTGTTTTTTACATCATAGTATATTAATCAACTAAAATCCGCTGTTATTTCATTATCATCTTTAAATTTGTTAAATTTAGTGATTGTTTTTTAATTAAAATGAAGAAAAACTTTTGTAAAAGACAAATAGAAAATAATATAATTAAAGTACATTTTTAAGCAATCTTATTAAAATAAGTCATTCATGTTTATTTATTTTCGAAAAATTTAGCTATTAGTAATTTTTTTAGTATTAGTCATTCACGTTTACTATTTATTAATTAAAAAATTAGTCAGTCATGTTTATTTATTTTATTAAGATTATTTAAAAATGTATTTCAATTATATTTTCTATTTGTCTTTTGCAAAATAGGTTTTCCTCATTTTAATTAGAAAACAATCACCAAATTTTACAAATTTGAAGATAAAAACGAAATAACAGCGAATTTTAGTTGATTATTATAGTATGGTATAGAAAACGATTATAGTAACTAAGAGTAGCTAGTTCATACAATATATGAACTATCTAACGAACACAATTCATAAAACTTTACACAGATTGATTTAAGAAACTGCTGCAATTTATATAAATATTCGAATATCTTTGAAGAATTAGCTGTTACGATTTTCGTCAAAGCTGCATTTTCATCAGGAAGGTTCGTAGAATCATAAAATCGTAACAAAAAGTTGCCACAATGAAAGTTGATAATATTCATCTTCCTGCACGGTGTGATCTCCTCACTATCAGATAAGGTATCGAAATTTATAGGAAATTGTGTAAGCTGTTTGGTCATTAATCGAAAAGGAGGACGTAAAGAGGGTTATTTGAATAACAGCGACAAAACTGACCTACCACTACACACCTATCACATTGACCACCTGGGACCTCTCGAGTCTACTAGTAAACAGTATAAGCATATACTGGTCGTAGTTGATGCTTTTTCGAAATTCGTTTGGCTTTACCCAACAAAATCAACTACCACAAAAGAAGTCATAGATCGATTGAACAGACAAAAATTCATATTTGGAAATCCTGTTCGTATCATTTCGGATAGAGGCACTGCCTTTACATCGCAAGAATTTCAAGAATATTGTAACGAAGAGAAAATTAAACACCATCAAATAACAACTGGTTTACCGAGGGCTAATGGACAAGTTGAACGCATTAACCGTGTCATTATACCAACCTTATCGAAAATGTGTATAGACAATCCAAGTAAATGGTACCAACACGTTAATAAACTTCAACAGACCTTGAATTCGACGTTTCAACGGAGTATTGGAATGACTCCTTTCCGCTTACTTACTGGAGTGGAAATGCGACGAGCAGATGATTTGGAATTGGCAGAAATTTTAGAGTTAGAGTGGCAAAATCAACTTGACGAGTCAAGGAACGATCTTCGACAACAAGCTAAATCACAAATTTTAAAAGTTCAGCAAGAGAATAGGAAATCTTACAATTTACGCAGAAGAGAACCATCGACATACGCAGAAGGAGACCTCGTAGCCATTAAACGCACCCAAATGATTCCGGGTAGCAAGTTGAAACTTAAGTACTTAGGTCCTTACAAAATCACCAAAGTGAAATTCAATAACACTTATGATGTAAAACGCGTTGGCAATGGTGAAGGCCCTATGAACACAAGCACTTGCGCAGAATACATGAAACCGTGGGTTTCCAAAAATTAGTCATTCGTGGCGTATGACAATGTAGGATGGCCGAGTTGTAGAAAATAATCATCCTGTACTTTGTATTGAAATACTTATTTGAAATTGGCGGTAATCGTTCGTAGCGCCATCGATCAATAATGCGGATGCATTATTGATTACCATAGTTTTTTTAGGTTAGAATATAGAAATTGACACGACGCGCTGCAACATTGTTTTTGTAAGACGCTTATCAAAGAATTGTATTTTGTAACTTTCAACAATTATTATTATTAAATTCATATATTTCAAAGTATTTGTGTTATCACTATTATAAATCCTACAAAAATAAATGAATAATATTATTAATAAAATGTGAAAAATAAATAACAGTAATAATATATTTAACAGAATTACTTTTCTCTTAAAAGGTATCCTGGATGAGAAGTAGAGATCTTCACATCTTGACCACAAGTGAGATTACCTTCAGTTCAGATTCGAGATTTAGCCCGCAGCACTCGCCTGGAAGTGATGCTTGGACGCTACGACTGGATCGTGCCAAAAAGACAGATTCTGGAAAGTACGAATGTCAGGTCAACACTGAACCAAAAATCATGTATGCAGTTCAGCTTTTTGTACGAGGTAATTGTCTTTTCTTTATATATATATATACGTACATATATATGAATCGATTATTCAATCCTTCTCTCTCTTTCTCTCTTTGCTTTCTACCTTGTCATTCGTCTGATTGATTTCTATAGACAATTTGCAAGTTCGAAAAGAAAGTCTTGAAAACGAATGAGAGAAATTTTCTATTGAAAAAAAAGATTGAATAAATGAGAAATTTATTAAAGCACTTCATTCTAGAAAGAACGAAATTATCCCACACCGAAGAAAAAAAATCTATTTCAGTTCCTTGATTATATTGACATTCCACTCGTTTTTTTTATGTGATTTCAATTTTCGTTTTGTTCTGTTTTCCTTCTAGATCCTGATAAACCTGAAGGGTTCGATGAACCTTTTTCTCAACAAACCCGAATAAGTAAGTTATGTTTTCAGTTTTTCTACTTTTTTTTTGTTTGGCGAAAAAAAAAATGTTCTGTGTGGGAATTAAGACGTATTTAGTTTTGTTTAAATAAATAGTTGCTTTTTAATTTTAAAATTTGAATTGTTGAAGTAGTGTTTAATAAAAACATCTTCGTTTTTGAAGTTTATCTTTTTTATTTAGGTAGTTACAATTTTATGTTATAGTAAATTCTCTAAAATACCGAATTAGTTTTCAAAAAGTTTATTTAATGCGAAAAATTTAGGGAAAATTGTAATTACATTTATTGTATATTTAAGGAGTTATGACCCTGTTTGTTTGGGAAAAATTTTAGAAAGTTTACAATTTCTATATTCATTCAAACTTTACAATAAGAAAAAATACAATTGTACTCGCAGGCTTCGCACACATCTATACTAAAACCTACTATTTACTATTTTTATTACGGTATGCTAATATTTAGATACTTTTTTTTTAGACTTTAACCACTAAAAGATAATATTTCTTTTTTTTTTGAGAATTTCCACTACTTTAAATTCGCTAATACTAAAAATTAAAAAACTATTCTCAAAATTTAGAATCAAATTCTTTAAAACGATTCAATTATTATTTTCAAAAAATATTCGAAATTCAATTATTTTCAGTATCTAGCATTTTCATAAAATTTCGCAAAACAATTCAATTTTTTTAAAAAATTCAATTATTTTCATAAATAATAAAACTCATAGAAGTATTTCAATTATTTTTAATACTATTTTAAAATAATTAATCGAAGAATTCAATTATTTTCACAAATAAAGTTTTCCACAAGAATTCAATTATATAAAATAAAATTTTCATAATATTTATTATACATTCGAGAAAATTAATTATTTAAAACAATGTTTATAAAATTCTTATAAAGAGTTCAATTATTTTTAAAAATAACAAAATTTTTCACAAAAATTCAATTTTTTAAAAAAATTTTAATAAAATTTTTCAAAATAATTCAATTATTTTCATAAATAATTAAATACTTCTCAGGAATTTAATTTTTTTGATAATTTGAATAAAGTTCTTAGTAACTGTTCAATTGTTTTTATAAATAATAAATAGCAGGATTTTAATTATTTTTAATACAATTTTACAGGAATTGCTCAAAAAATGTAATTATTCTTAAAAATTTAATTTCAATTCCTCGAAATAATCAATTATTTGAAAAAATGTGGTTTTAAAATTCTTTGAAAGACTTCAATTTTTTACAAAAATATTAAAAGTTTTTACAGAAACTAAATTATTTTAAAATATTTTAATAAAGTTGTTCGATAGAAAATCAATTGCTTTAAATACAATTTTAATTCAACTTTTTGAAATAATAATTTAACTATTCTTTTAGATTTTAGTAAAATTCTTCCCTAGAATTGAATTATTTACATAATTAATTCTTTAAAAGAATTCAATTATTAAAGATAAATAACAAAATTATTCCCTAAAATTTAATTATTTTGAGGCATTTTAATAAAATTCTTTGCAAAATTTAATTATTTTCATAAATAACAATATTCATCACAAGAATTCAATTATTTTTATAAATAATAATAATCATCACAAGAATTCAATTATTTTTGGAAATTTTTATAAAATTCATCGCAGGATTTCAATTATTTTTAATACAATTTTACAGGAATTATTCAAAGATAATTTATTATTCTTAAAAATTTAATTTCAATTCCTCGAAGAAATCAATTATTTAAAAAAATGTTTGTTTTCATATTCTTTGGAAGAATTTAATTCTTTACAAAAATAAATTAGAATTTTTCACAGGAATTAAATTATTTACAAATATTTGAATAAAATTGTTCGAAAGAAATCAATTATTTTAAATACAATTTTAATTCAACTTTTTGAAATAATTCAATTATTCTTCTAGATTTTAATAAAATTCTTCCTTAGAATTCAATTATTTACCTACATAATTAATTCTTCAAAAGAATTCAATTATGTCGATAAATAACAAAATTTCCCCGAATATTCAATTATTTTAAGGCATTTCAATAAAATTCTTTGCAAAATTCAATTATTTTCATAAATAACAATATTCATTAAAAGAAATCAATTTTTTTTAAAAGTAATAAATTTCTTCTTGGAAATTCAATTATTTTAAAAAATTCTAATAAAATCTTTCACAAGAATTCAATTTTATTATTTTCATAAATGACAAAATTCTTTTTGGATTTCAATTATTTCCAAAAAAATTTAATAAAATGCCACACAGACATTTAATTATTCTTAAAAATCTTAATAAAATTCTTTGTAAAATTTAATTATTTTTAAAAACTTTTCACAATTCAATGATTTTCAATATCTACTATTTTTCATAAAATTTCCAAACAGAATTCAATTATTTAAAAAATTTTGTGTAAAAATCTTTTTAAGTATTCAATTCTTTTCACGAATAAGAAAAATTTCTCAGGAATTCAATTAGAATTTGCATAAAATTAGTTGAAAGAAATGAATTATTTAAGAATTTTTATGAAATTCTTCGTAAGAATTAAATTATTTTTCTGAATATTTAAATTCTTTCATGAATAATAAAATTCGTTGCAGAAATTCAATTTATTAGCAGGTTAAGAAAGAAGTAAAAAAACGAGTTTTTTTGGTCGTCAAGTTTAATTTTTCGATAGCTACTTTTTTTAGTTTGAAAGATACTTTTTGCTACTTTTCTAAAATTAATTATCGAGTGCGAAGTCTGTACTTGTGAAAAGTAATTATAATAACTAAATGAATAAATTAAAAATTAAAAATTGTAAATTCTTGTTGTTCGTTATTATTAAGTTAAAAATTGATTTAATAAAGTTAGAAAGAATAAAAACTGCAATGTCCGAAATTTTCCATCAGGTCTTAATGGTTAGTATGATAAATAAATAAATTTTCCCCTGACAAGAAGGTTTGTAACTCCTTAATTGAATATATTAAAGTTTTATTTTCTGTGTGAGTGACTTTTTTCTCAATTTCCTTTTCGATTTAAATGTTGTATGCGCGCGGATATAGAAGACGATTGTAATGAGAAAGACATTGGCGAGGAAGAAATTTTCAACGAGTTAGTAAAAATACATAACGTTTGTGTATATATATAGATATTTCGTGCCAGGAAATGCAGTTCTCACGGACTTAAATTAAGTCTAATAGGATTGCCCTTAATCCAGGTAGTCCTGCACTGGTCTTCTACCCCGAAACTCCAAGGCCAGAAAGACTGGCGCGTAAAATGAGTCTCAACTGCAGTCCACTTTGAATAATGAATTCAAGTCTTAACATTATCATACTTAACCTTCTTAAATTACTACACCGTCTGGCTGCGAGACGCATGATTTTTATACTTAAATCCGTGTTAAGTTAATTTTATCCCTTGGAATTCAGGTTTTATTTTAATATTTTTATCCTACATGAAGGGGTATATTACTTGCTTTGAAAATAATTTCCGCAATTCTAAGACGCATCTCTTTATTTTATTTTCCTTTAGTGAGAAAAATTATTTTTGCCTGTTTTATAATAATGTAAATAAAACAAAACGCTGAGTATGATGTTGAATCAGTAATGAGGTCTGTTTTCTTGAAAGGGAAAAATTTGTTTGAAAAAAACAATTTTTGGGTAAAATAACCTAATAAATAATAAAACACGAAGAAATCGATCACTTCGAGTCTTCGACTCGGAGTAATCGCTTTCTTCATGTTTTTTAATAATTAAAGATTGGCCGAGTAATAAAATCATTAGTTACAGTAATTTTTTCAAAATTATTTTCATCATTTTAATTATTATTTTCTAGAATTTTCAACTAAAATTATTTTTTAAAATAAATTATTTTTTAATAATTTTTCATTTTTAAATCAATTTTTACCAGAAAATTCTACGAGAATTAAATTATATAAATACAAAAATAATTTAATGAATAATTGAATGTTTCTTAAAATTGGACTCACATAAAGAATTTTATCAAGAAATTTTAAAGAATAATTACTTTTTTGAGGAACTCGATTAAAATTTTATTAAAAATAATTCAAATTCTGCGATGAATTTTATTATTTATGAAAATAATTGAATTCCTAAAAAGAATTTTTTTTTTTTTTGAAAATAATTAAATCCCAGTAAAAAATTTTATTATTTATGAAAATAACTAAATTCCTTAAAAGAATTGTATTATTCACAAAAATAATTGAATCCCTGTATAAAATGTTATTATTTATGAAAATATTGGAATTATTGCTAAAAATTTATAAAAAATTTGTAAATAATGGAATTCTTGTGAAATTTTTATTAATTATGAAAATAATTAAATGTTTGACTAGAATTATATCAAAATTTTGTTAAAAATAATTGAATTGAGGAAATTTCTTAAAAATAATTGAAAATTTTGCTAAGAATTTTATTAAAATTTTTGAAAATTATTGAATTTAGAAGAATTTTATTATTTCTTAAGATAATTTAAATTTTGACTCTAAAATTATTATAGAATTTTTAACTATATTTAATCTTTAAATCAATTATTTATCAAATCAATTATTTTTAATAATTTTTGAAAAAGTTCTTTGAGAATTCAATTTTACGGAATTTTGATTATTCGAAAAATATCTTCAATTAAACATGTATTAGAAAATAAAAAATTCAAATAATTAAATAAAACTCAACAAACTTTTTCAAAAAAAAATTAATTCTACAGAATTGTTGGTTAAAAATATGAAAAATTCAGATTTTCAAAGATTTTTATTTAAAACCTTTTCGAAATTCAATTATTTTTAAAAAGTCTTAAAATTATTTTCTCATAAAGAGTTTTATCAACAAATTTTCATATAAAATCGAATTCTTTCGAGGAATTTTAATACAATTTTTAAGAATAATTAAATTTTTCGAGAAATTTGATTAAAATTGTATCAAAAATAATTGAAATACTGCAATGATTTTTATTATTTATGTTAATAATTGAATAGCTGCAAAGAATTTTATAAAAATTTTCAAAAATAATTGAATTCTTGTGATGAATATTATTATATATAAAAATAATTGAATTTTTGTGATGAATATTGTTATTTATAAAAATAATTGAATTTTGCAAAGAATTTTATTAAAATGCCGCAAAATAATTGAATTTTCAGGAATGATTTTGTTATTTATCGACATAATTGAATTATTTTGAAGAATTAATTATGTAAATAATTAAATTCTAGGGAAGAATTTTATTAAAATCAAAAAAAATAATTGGATTATTATTTTAAGAAAATTTCATTAAAATTGTATTTAAAATAATTGATTTCTATCGAACAATTTTATTAAAATATTTGAAAATAATTGAATTCTGCGATGAGTTTTATAATTTATAAAAATAATTGAATCCCTGTAAAAAAATTTTATTATTTATAAAAATAATTGAAATATTGCAAAGAAATTTAAAACAAATTTTTGAAAATAATTGAAATTTTGCCAAGAATTTTATTAGAATTATCGAAAATAATTTAATTTCGAAGAAGAATTTTAATATTTCTGAAAATAATTGAATTCTTGACGGGAATTTAAAAAAATTTTTTGAACAGAATTTAATTTTTGCAAAGAATTTTATTACTTTTTGAAAATAATTGAATTTCTGAAATCATCTGTAACTTCTCTAAAATTCAATTTTTGAAGTTTTTTAAATTTACATACAAGAATTTAATTATTTTTAAATGCAAAAGTAAATAATTTATTGAATAATTTAATGTTTCTTAAAATTGAATTCTCATAAAGAATTGTGTCAACAAATTTTGAAATAATTGAATTCTTTTGATGAATTGTAATAAATTTTTTAAGAATAATGACATTTTTCGAGGAGTTCGATAAAAATTGTATTAAAAAATAATTTAAATTCTGCGATGAGTTCTATTATTTATGAAAATCATTCTGTGAGTCATTTGTTCATGAAATTAAAAATTGATAGCATGTACTATTGATTTAAAATAAAATAGAAATCATGTCACTTTTTTTTCTATGTATTTAGGAAAGTTATTAAAGTTTTGAAGAATTGAATTTAGAAATCAGTGGAAGGTTAGGGAAATAGAAAATTTCTTAGTTCTACCAAACATTTAAAATAACCGAAAAATAAGGTTTATACAACAAAATGGAGTTTTTAGTTTGAAGATAATTGAGTGAAAGTTAAGAGTAAAGTGATAATTGGCAAATTTGTTGAAATCATGTTTTGTAAGCAAGATATTTGTTCGAACGTGTCTTTCAGGTTTCGAGAGTACAGCGCCAGTCGCGGCTATAATGGGACCACGTGAGCAAAGGGTGCCTTCCGGGTCGACAATCACCCTAAGGTGTGTCATAACCTCCCCCTATCAGACGCGTCCCATCAGGGCTGTACAATGGCTTCGAGATAATAAACTCCTGACAATCCTGGTAATTTACGATTCAAATCTCAACACATCCAACATTCTTCTCTTCTTTCAAATTGCTATTTACATTTACTATTATGTATACATACAAAAAAACATCATTCTTTCAAATTACTTTTTTTTTTCAAACAAAAACACAAATCATAAAACAAAAACTATTAGTACTTTTCACTGTAAAATTAAAAATGAAATCTTTCTCTTTATTCGTACTCTCAGTGAAATTTTCCCTGCATACCAATCAGTAATTAACTCTCTGGCTATGCCTAAATCCAAATGTGAAATTTCATTTATTCGCAGTGAAAATGCTTGCAATTTAGTGAAATTCTTCTGATGTGAGTACGAAGTTAATTCAAACGAATAGAAAGTATCAAATCAATCTAAATTTCACGATAAGTAAAAGTACTTACTTTTTTAAAGTACTTAAAGGAAAAACATGTTCTTTTTCTTAAATTCAACTCATTTTTGGGCCTAAAATAAAAATTTGTCAATTTCAGGCTTTAATATCAATTTTCTAATCAGAAATTTATTCAATATTTGGACTAATATAAGTTGTTTTAGTCAAAATTAGGCTTAAAACAAGATTTTTTTTACAGTGATGGACAAAAACTGAAGCATATTAGCGTTGAAAATTTTAGGAAAAAATTGTATTCGGTATGCAGGGAAATTTCACTGATTTTTGAGAGTAAAAAATAGAAAATAGAAAAAATTTGAATAATTATTTTTAGGCAAAACGAGGAGGCATTAATGTTGAGACTGAAAAAAGTTCGGCACAAACGATTTCGTCAGCGACACTCGCATCCGTTACTCCAGACGACTCTGGAAAATATTCGTGTAGACCAACCGAAGGTCTACAAGACACCATCACCTTAATCGTTGATCCAGGTAAACATTTTATTCCCCTTTTAATTTTTCCAACTGTCACTTGCACCTACAAATAAAATACAAAATGTTCCATTTAATATTTTTTGAGTTAAGTGCAACATAAAAAAATCCAAATTGTATCTCAAATAATTTAGTTTTTGAAGAGTTTTTCATTTTTTTATTCAGTTTTCTTTACGATTAACAATTCGTGCAAAATTATTTGATTCAAATAACCGATTAATTGACTATTATCAATTAAATATTTAATTGAATCAAATACTATTCATTGGGGTCAATTTAATGGTTTAATTCATATTTGCTTCAAATACTGAAATTATTGGTTTAAATATGAATTGAACCATTTAATTGACTCCAATAAATATTTTTTGATTCAACTAAATATTTAATTGATAATAGTCAATTAATCGGTTATTTTAATCAAATAATTTTTTTTCAGTGTAACATTAGTTAAATTTGATAAAATTTAAAATTATGAATTTCCAAAGTAAATGAAGTTTCGAAAATGTTTCTAAATTTGAAAAATTTTAATAAACCGATAAAAATTGGTAAAAAAAAATTTTAATTTAATTGTTCAAAGGTAATCGAATTTTTGCAAATAATTCTTATTTTTACAGAGTTACAATTAAATCCACAATTAAAGTTGTTTGCAAATAAATATATTTTTACAAGCATTTTTTTCTATTTACCTAATCAGTTTTAGAATTTCTCAGAATATTTTAATTGTTTATAAGAATTATTTTCAATCTTGATAAACCTAAAAAAGCGCATCTTTTTTTGAAAAGCATTTCAAGAATATTTAATTAGTTGAAAATTCTATAAAATTTATTTACATTTTAGATAATGTAAATCTATTGGTCGATAATATTGATACCATTGTTATTTTGTTACAATTTACTAAAATAACAATACTACATTTTAAATATAGTACCTTCAAAATTTCAAATACATTGTATAACTACTGAAACATTATTTCAGAGCGCTTTTCATGGATTTTGGTTTTTAAAAACCGGTTTGTACACAAAATACTTAAATTGATTTTTATCATAACGTATACACGTTCAATAACATTGTAAACAAACCTCAACTGAGATTATTTACAATATGAAACTCAATTATTCCTACACAGAACATTTTATTGAGAATTAAATTTCAAAATTTGATAAACAGCATTCAGTATATATATAAAATTTGAAGAGCTTATATATAAAGATTTAATATATAATCTTGGATTTTTGATTATTACATTATTTTCTCTTCTTTCGAAAAAGAGCAAAAAGAATTCTATTGTTTAAATATTTTACCATGTATTTAAATACATGGTAAAATATTTAAACAATAGAATTCATTTAAAAAAAAAAATTTTTTTTTAAATTGTATTGTTTAAATATTTTACCATGTATTTAAATACATGGTAAAATATGTAAACAATAGAATTCTTTTTGCTCTTTTTCGATAGAAGAGAAAATAATTCGAATTTGTAAGAGTAAATATAGCTTTTATATTATAATAAGGGAAACCAAAAAAACAAGATGTAGTAAAGGGAGATAGCTCTTTAAATTTCTTCCAGTGCAATCTGAACCATTCTAATTAGTGTGACAAATCCTCTCAAAAGAGTGGAATTTCATTCTCGTCTCGTGCAGCAAATTTGTAATTTAATTCGAGTAATACTTTTGTGGAAAACGAAGAAACTGATAGATATTTTAGTACTTTAAATTAAGATTTTACTCGTTTGTCGCAGTATTTATATATGACGTTAAATACAGTGCTTGGTTTTAATTTCTACTTGAAATTTAATATTAAAAGAGAGGTAATTGAAAATGCTCATTCCCTTTAGTTACTTTATTCTTTTCAACGCAAGAATTTATTTTTATCAAAGAAAACCAGTTCAATGTTAAATTTTCAAATTCAATTATAATTTTTCTAGAAGACGTAATTTTAATTTTAAACAAATTAATTTAATTAATTAATTAATTAATTAATTAATTTAATTTTTTAATTAAATTTTTTATTTTTAATTTAGTAATTTTTTACTAGCAAATAATAATTTCAGTAAGTTAGAGAATTATTCTAATATAGTAAAAAAAAAATTCTATGGAATTTTACTAGAATAATTTTCTGTTCCTGGAATTGTAGTATACTGGAATGATTTTTTAAAATACAATAAGTAGTAAAAGACGGTTCAGGTCAGACTAAATTTTGTTCACAAAGTTTTGTATTTTTGTCCCCAAGGGAAAGAAGTTTCGGAGAGACGAAACTTTTTAAAAAGTCTTCTAATTTTAGTGTAAGTAGTAGAAGACAGTTGTTGTCAGACAAATGTTTCCTGAATTCTTATAATTTTACCATCTTGGCACAATTAGTTTCAGTGACTTATAATTTTTCTAAATTTTTGTAATTATATTTACAGTAGTATTATTTAGTCAGTCAACATGTGTTTAATAATTATATTTTTAGTTTCAGTAGTGAAAGTAAATTTTAGTCAGCCATCAAAATTTTTCTACTCTTATACAGTTGACAAAAAGAAATTATTAAAAATATCAATATATTAATAATAATAATAATAATATCAATATTAATATTAATAATAATGATAATATCAATATTAATATCAATAAATTAATATATTAATTCAATTATTATTTTCTAGAATTTTTAAATAAAATTCTAAAAAATATTTAAAATTTTAACTGAAATTCATTTTTAAATCAATTTCTATTAGAAAATTCTACGAGAATTTAATTATTTAAATTCAAAAGTAAATAATTTTTGGAAGAATTGAAGATTTCTGAAAATTGAATTCTCATAAAGACGTTTATCAACAACTTTTTAAATAATTCAATTATTCTTTTGACGAATTTTAATAAAATTTTTAAGAATAATTACATTTTTCGAGAATTTCGATTAAAATTATAATAAGAATAATTGGAATTTTGCAATGAGTTTTATTATTTATGAAATTAATTCTTACCCTGCAAAAAGTTTTATTACTTATGAAAATAATTGAATTATTGAGAAGAAATTTGCAAATAATTGAATTGCTGTGAAATTTGTATTATTTATGAAAATAATTAAATGTTTGCGTAGAATTTTATTAAAATTTCTTTTAAATAATTGAATTTTTTTGGAAAATATTATTAAAATAGTAGATATTAAAAATCAAAGAATTGAGGAAAACAATTGAGTTTTAGCCAAGAATTTTATTAAAATTTTTAAAAATATTTGAATTTCGGGGAAGAATTTTATTATTTGAACCGTTCGCTCGAACAACGGCTTAAGTTGATTTAAGCCGTTTTTCAAAAGACGCTTACCATCCTGTTAATTAACATCTAAATTATAATGTTTGATTGGAATTGTTTAAAGCAAAACCTATTAAATTAAATAGTAATGCTTTAAATTACCTATAATTTATAAATTAGTGTTAATTTTAAGACTTTCCAAAATGCCTCAAAAACACTTAAGCCGTTATTCGAGCGAACGGTTCATTTATAAAAAGTAATAAAATTATTTATAAATAATAAATTATTTATAAAGTAATTGAAATTTTATTTCAAGAAGAATTTTATTATTTATGAAAAGTTATAAAATTATTTATAAAATAATTGAAATTTTTATTAGAATATAAAAAAAATTTTGGAATATAATTGAATTTCTGCGAAGAATTTTATTATACTTTTGAAAATAATTGGATTTCTGCAATAATTTGTAACTTATCCAAAATTCAATTTTTTTCTGTTTTTAAGTTTAAACTAAAATTTCTCTGTAAGTTCATTATTTTTAATGATTAATTGAATATAATTTTTAAAAAATTTAATTTTAAATCAAATAAATCGTTCTCTCATTGTAATAACAGAGAACATTTTGAAATTCTTAGTTATCAGTAGTAATAAATAATATAATAAAGTGGTACTTTAATAATTTTAAGTACAAATGTAGATTTTAAGTACAAATGCAGATTTTAAGTAGTAAAATACAGTTTTAGCCAGACAAAATAATTTTAATGTTAATGAGACAAAATTTAATTTCAGAAAGACAAACGATTTAAATATATTTTCAGTGGTTTAGAAATAAAAATAAGATAAATTTTCCAATTTAAAATTTGTCTGTCTCGCTTGTCAGTAGAAAAAGACGGTTCCAGTCAGACAAGAATTATTCGTATAAGAATCTATATGTATGTATGAGAGTAACTGCAGTGGCAGTAGTAAAAGTCAGTTGCACTCAGACAAAAATGTTCTAAATTGACATATAAACTGTTGTTTCAGTAGTAAACTCATGTTTTAGTCAGACAGACATCTTGAATACAGGTAATTACGACTAAAAAAGTAAATGGCAATTATGTCAATAAATTTTATATTTCAGTTTTTTCATAGTTTCAATTTATTTTCAATTTTTTAATTTAGCTTCTAAATTTATTTTTTGTTAATTTCATTAAATAATTTGATTCATCATAATCTAATTTTATTCATTTCAAAAAATTGTAAACTTTTAATTTTTGGAATTAGTAAAAAAGTACAATTACAATTAGCCGAAAGGTTTCTTAATTCTTAAAAGAATATTTCAATCAAAAAAAGAATTAAAAAGAATTCTTATTTAAATATTAACTTAGTTTTTCTACGGATATCAAATTGAGACAAAAAACGAATTAAAACGTTGCTTCGCAACACTTTTGATTCGTTTTTTGTCTTAATTTGATATCCATCGAAAAACTGTCTTAAAAAAAAAAATTGTCTTAAAAGTCTTATTTTGAGGTGTCAAGGAAATCTTAAATTAAAATGCAACATTTTTAAGACAGACAATGCATTTTCATTGTTCTCAGTAGTAAATATCAAAGTTTAGTCAGACGAGAACTATTTTCCCAATAAATACGACTGAAACTTTACATTTATTTTTAGATCTTGAAGGACTGTGTATACATACAGTCTTTTATATATTGGATAGTAAAAGTGAGTTGCAGTGAGAGTTTGCAAATTTTGGTCTATAATATCGAAAAATTATGGTAATAAATA